CAGAAATGGGGTCCACTTCGTTAAACATGGAAGGAGAGTACTTGATCGGTCGAGGTTGACCCTCAACTCCCTTGGAATCATCATGGGCACGAAAAATTGGTATCCTCTGCCCAACAGGGCCTGGTGTTCTACTTCCAAATGATGATTCCAGGGCCTGCAGGGCGCAGTAAATCCAGCGAAAGCACGTTGATTCAAGTAGCACTTGTCGCTTCAGATGGGCTTTGGACGGCATGGAATTGGCCTGCCTGTGGATGTGCTGACATGTGATGACCATGCTGTGGAAGGAGCAATTGAGTAGCGGCCTTGTTTTGTGTTCTTCAGGCATGATGCCGATCTGCTCTGTGCTGCTCAACTCAATTGGCACTCTCCAAAACACTGTGGATGGTTCAGAAGAATCGCCGGAAGCCCCTTCGTTCTATGATGCAAGGGGTACCAGTTTTCAGATATGTTCTGTTTGGATTATAGACATTATCCTTTACCGACCAAACCGACTCAGCCTGTCTTGACTCCTCTTCTGTGCTGAGATTGGAGAAATCCATGATTCTCCCGGGGATCATGCGGTGCAGAGACTCCTGCTGGATGCGCTCACGCAGCTCGACCAGAGAGTCGAGGTCTCAAGGAGCAGATCTACTCTCGGAACAAAGATGATTCCGTGGAGTTCACCACCTGCAGTTTGGTATTGAAAACATCTTTCCACGAGATGTTTTTCGGGTCAAACGAACTTAATTAACCGACGGTGACCACTCTGAAGTCAAGCGCCGGTTGGCACTGCATGGCCGTTACTTTTTTGTGAGTCCCTAGGCTATAAAGTTCCAAAACTGGGTCTTTCCCATCTTAAAACCTTGGAAGGCTCTCTTTTGGTCCATGTCCTTTCTTCCACCCGCGACTTTGGGGCATCGCCCCTGCGCTCCAAGGTACGCCCTGTTCCTGGAACTGCGGAGCTCCGAGGGCGTCGCCGCCGCGGCGCCGCGCGGACGGACGCCACAGAGACTCGGAGCAGGGTCGATCTGCGCCAGCTGACGCGGGTCGATCGGTCGATCGGGAGGTCGAGTTCGGATCGCGATGTATATCGAGCCGGAAGAGGTGGAGTTGGGTTTGGAACACAAAGTAAAAAGAACGAGGCTTTATAGAAGTGTTCTTGGTGAATTTTTTGGGGCTGCATGGCTTTTTGGTGGCGAAGACAGACTGAGGTGACACGTCTCTATGAGTTTCAACATGTTTCAACATTTCGTTTGGGAACACATCGAAGGCCTCGTCAGATTGATTCTTTTCTGGACTGCCGAGGAACTTGTCGCCACAGAGGGTTGCGGTTGGCGTGGATCCTTGGATGAGTTTGTCTCTTCTCGTGCCGACTGGAGCAGAACTTCCGGTCGAGATTGGTAGCAACAGGAGCTTTCACGGCGCGCCCGCGCCCGATGATCACTGATGTATTGTTCCATTTCGCTGCTCATCCACAGATGGTTCCGTCCGTTTGAGGAATACTTTTCGCGGCAACAGCAGCCTACCTTGGACACGTTGATCTTCGACAAAAGCAAAGATGCACTGGGCAGCAGCCCTTCCAAATTCCGGCATCCTGCCGGCACCGTTGTTCAAGAATTTGGCTGCACCTGCTCCAGTTCAAGAAGGTTATAAGACTAAAAAAGACAAAGAAGAGAAAAGCATCTTTTGAGTTGGCAGATAAAGCAGGGTCAATCTCATCATCAAATCTTACCTCACTCAGTTGACTCGCCCTATCTCGCTATATCTCGACGCTGCCTGAGCACCGCCACCGAGGGAAGCTTGCGACTGGGATCGCGTTTGGTCCTACGCACGGTGGCCTAGCAGCCGTTCGACGGCCGTTCACCACGAGGAAGAAATCCGCTGCATTGGGGTCCAGTTTTTGTCATGAGGATGTGGAGGTTGAAGGAGCCCGGAGTCATGCTCTATCCCGTGACTGGCTACAGTACCATGTGTACACATAGTTTTGGGTACCCCTTTCAGGTCTCCCAAGTTACATCGCCGAAATCGTTGGGACGTTGGGACGTTCTGGAATTGCTTGGAATCCACCCAGAGGCAACCCTGGACGAACCAACTGCTACATGTTGGTTCGGTCCATTTCACCCTGGCTGGTTTCGGGTCAAAACCCTGACCGCGAACTGATCAGGATCCGAACTCTGAGCCTTTGGGTATGAAATTCCGAGGATTGGGAGCTCTATGCGCCCTTGTTTCGCTTCTGCTCCTTGGCACCGACAGGATTCTGGGACCCCACCGGCACACGACGGGCCCGGCGGGGTCCGTGAGTTCACGGCGGGGTCCGACGTTTGACCTAAGGGTTGACCTATCCCAGGAGCCTTTGTTTGGGGTTTCTGATTAAAGGTGAAGGGGTGTCCATGAACCATCTCTTCCTGGTAGTTTAGAGCTCTATATAGTTTTAATGTGTAACATCAGTAAAACCATGGATGTCCGGCATGCCGGCGATCAAATCGACGTACGTACTGCTGCTTGGGGGTCGAACTCCCCCCTCCGAAGGGCGGGTCCCGGCACCAGACGATTCGTCCCTCAGGGGGTGCGTTTCACGGGTGCGGGAAACACATCCCAGTCCAGTCGGACGACGGATGAATTAGGGAACCTGATTTCGGGAACTTGCTTTTCTTCCGTGGGTCAAAGTACAGGTGAACTGGACTTCGCATGGGTATTTTTGAGCTCCAGACGGTTGATCGTCGCATCGAGCTCTCGTATCGTATCTGGGCTGGCTGCTTGGGTTCCTCGGGTTTCCACAGCAGGTCAACTGAATCTCAACCGCATCGTCGGCTTGCAGCTTGGCCACAGCGAGGATTTGGGGTGCTTCAACGTCCAGACCCTCCACCTGAGCAAATCCGATCAGACATAAAGCGTCCACCATGGCGAGCGAGTGGATGAGGGGCGAATTTGGAGAAACATCGAATGGATGTGTTCAGACAACAGAATTCATCATTGGTTTCATCCTCCAAACGTCAAATACCAGGGCTCCCTTTACCATGGGGTGGTATGGGGTGGTTACATTGAACACCCCTTCACTTCAATTGAAATACATGTTCCTGGTTCTTCAAAGTGACCTTACTTTTCCTCTTCACCTGGTTTGAGGTTACTTAAGCCTAAGGGTCACGAAAAGGAACCTTCAAAAGGTCACTTTGAAATACTTTGAAGAAGCTGGTGTTCATGAAAGCAAAAGCTGCACAGCCGAGGAATCTTCCCTTGGAGGCCGTGCTGGTGGTTTCTCGAGGCCCCCACGCGGCGGAATGTGCGGAGCCAAACAGAAGGAGATGATCCGAGGAAAAGATCATAAAAGATATCCTTTTAAGGTTGAAGAACTGAACATCGATGAGAAAAGGATATTATGTTTCTTTTTTTTTGCCAGAGTGTGAACAAATGTGATCTATTATAACATAAGTCGAGTTCTCCAGGTTGAGGTAGGGTTCCCCAGAACTGCTCGGGTCCGCGTCAATCATCGTTGATTTTTGCGGCGCGTTTTGGACCTCGGTTTGACCCTGACTTCGGGTCTACCGAAGGGTCTGTGGCGTCGATCGTCGGTTAACCCGGAGGTAGTTCCTACACCCACACGCAGCCTGAGGCAGCGTCGTACTAGTAGAACGATAGTGTACTTTTTTGTGTACTTACTATAGTGTACTATTGGCCTGGGAGTCCAAGACCATTCAAAGTTCGTCGACCTAGGTGACCCCAGTTCAGGAACTTCCTTTACTTCAATGTGGCACACTATCGTCGAACTGGACGAGAGTATACTCCCAGACAATCCATTAAACTGGAAGAATTCACACATTGGGGTGGTTTGTTGAAATGTTTGCACAAGGTTTCAGGTATAATCGGTATGGATTTTGGGGGTGTTACGGCTTTCCCAACTGCTCGTGTCGCCTCACTGGTTCAGACCCTCGCTGCTTCAGACCGTGACCTCGGAGGTGGCTTGGAGGCAGCGCCCGAGTGGTTGCGTGAGCAGCTGCCTCCTTTGGATCTCACACAAGAGAAGCATCGCCGGAGGTTTGAGGACATGCTGCTCAGCTGAAGGAGGAAAACCCGTATCAATCGAATAGGCCGAAGAGAGTGCTGTACCTATGGATTTTCCAACTATATGCAACAATTATGAGTGTTGATTGGTTTTATATGTGAAAATGCAGAAGTTTTGCATAGTTCGAAGATCTAGGTATGGCCTTTCTCTTTGCCCTTGGCTTTGCTCCTTCGGGCGGCAACTTGTTTGTTTACGACAGTTGTCATGCACGCTTTTGCTGCACCCTGTGGCATTCCATTAATACCAGTTAGATAAGAATAAAACACATTATCATCATTTGCAAAATATCAACCAGGACCCTCCAACAGGTCACCACCTGCGACTGTTAAGTCTCCAAAAGCCACCAGAGGAGACCTGTTGGAGGGTGCTGGAAATGGTTCATTAAATAAAGATAAAAACCACACACAACAGGACATCATGTCACTGTGTTTCTTGCGTCATGGTTCTTCTTTGACAAGCCACATCCGAACATACCCAACAGAGCAATCGGTTTTGTTGTCAAACCCGAATCGGACGTCCTCGGACGGATCCGGGAAGGTCAGGTGAATGAAATCCAGAGCTGCTGCTTGGGAAGGTCAGGTGGTCTTTGGTGAGGAAAGTCCTATGATTTTTGGGAGGGTCCACAGATTCTTAAAGGATTCTTGGTGGTGTGATGGTTTGTAAATTGCAGCAGTGAAAGACACATCATAAAATCATTGTTTGTTTGTCGCAAAAAAAGGAACATGCAACTGTTAGTGATGGTTGAGGCGATGGTTTTGTCCCGCCTTTTCTTGTGAATCCAGTTTGCCACCCTGGTGCCATGTCTTTTGGCTCAGTAGCATGTTCAGTGAGCCAGGCCGGTGGGTGTTTTCGACACTACAGCTGTTGACCCACCATGTCATGGCCGGCCGCGGGGCCCGCCGCGGCACTCTTGCTCCCATCTGTCACGCTGCTCGTCTTCACGACTTCGATGGCCACTGAGATGGATGCCACGTTGCAAAAGAAGAAGAGCTCCATGGGGACTCTCTTAGATGGTCTCACCACTTATGAGGAGAAGCCGAATCCCCGGCTCTCCTGTTCCCCGGGCATCGTCAATGCACGACAGCTCATCGAATCCAAGTTGGAGGAGATCGATGTGAAGCCCATGGGAGACTGGGAGACAAAATTGTCTTGGAACATGTTTACTGTTAACCTTCCCTAAGAATCCGGACCCTCAAACAGATAGGGTTTTGAGGGCTTAGACCCCGGCTATGGAGGGTCCGTGCCATGGAGAGCCCAAGAGTTCTTAGGGTTTGATGATTTCTCACCCGCCATCGTTTCGGGGTCGGGCCCGACACGTAAACGGTCTACCGGGGAAGCAATTTCTTTCTATTTTTTTTCAGAACACAGCTGGTTCCCAAAGCTAGGTTTGGAGGCCATCGCTATTAGGTTGGAGGCCATTGCTATTATAGAGTTGAAACATGTTGAAACCAACATCGCTAAGGAGATGATGGATTTCGATATACCGTGCCGGGCACTATCGACTCAGAGGAGTGTCCGGATGGGATCACCAATTTGATTGGAGTGATTGAAGGTTCGGATCCCTTCCTGAAGGATGAGTACATCATGCTGAGTGCCTGGGTGGACGTTGCCTGTGCATATCACCAAAAAGCAATACCTATAATATCCTATATCTCCTGTTATACTAAACCGATCTAAACCGGAAGAGACCTACCAGGGTCTCCTGAAAACCACTGGCTTGTAGAGGAAGGTCAGGCGTTTTCAGGTCAGGTTCGGGTCTCGGACCCCGGGTGTCAAAGCCGCGAAGGTGGGACTTCACAACCCCCGCGGGCGAACGCCCGAGCAAACATGTTGCTTGCAGTAAAAAACCCACCAGCCAGGGCTATACAGTAGGGTGGAGCTTATGACACAGCCGAACTGGGTGGTTCTAGCATGTTCTAGCATGTTCTTGCAGTATTTCTTTATTGTTGGACCTTTTTTGCTTTTTCCAAGCTTCCTTTGCCCATGAGGTGCTCACATCGATGGTCCTGAGAATGAAGGGCCCTCTAGTGCCCAGGGCCTGCTGGACACCGACAACACCTACGACGACGGTAGTGGCACCGCTGCGCTCTTATCGATGGCCGAGTACTTCGTGAAAGCACCGCCCAGGCGAAGCTTGATCTTGTTCTTCTCCGACGGCCACCTGGCGAAGAAGCTTCATCAAAAGGACGGGGACCCTCAAGGAATCTCAATTGTGTTTTTCTTTGTAACACGATGTTTGGTCATTCAAGGAGTACTTAGCTTGTGTAAGTCCGAAGAAGAGATCGTGTCCGAAAAGAAGAACAACATCTATGATGTCATGACATGTCATGACACAAAAGTGGTGCCACCCAACTACTGCCCTGCCTGTCGACCCGTTTGCCACGGATCGAAGCGGGACATCGAGGCGAAGAGGGGATCCACAACGTGGCAGTCTCCGAGGGTTGGAAGCAGGCCTTTTGCGTGTCGCCCGCGTACTGGGGCCCTCCGGGATGCCACAACTATCCCATTGGCATGACGGCATGGGTGAAGGATAGCAAGAAGAGCTTCAATGAGAAGTCCTTGATGCTTGGCATACAGTGGAAAAACACGAACAAACGTTGGCCTCATTTCCTTTTAGCCAGCTTCTTTGGTGAGACTTAAGCACGATGTATTGCACCCAGTTCAACTCGCAATGCCTCGAACAAAAGAACAAAGGCCGGACCTCGCAAGACTTGGCCCAAAGAAAACCCTGCATTCCGTTGGGGTGAACATACGCCTATACAAGTCCGTGCCTGGCGTTGTTCATCTGGTTTGACTGACATCATGCATGTTTCGTTCTGGTTTCGCATTTCCCCGGACCCAGTCTTTCGGCCGTTGTCGACAGACCTCTTGGGTAGACCTGTCCGTACACGACGTGTGACGACATCGTGTGACGACGTGGTCGACCGTGGTCGACCATCGACTCGACCGTGAAACCGAAACGAACCCCTGGACCCTTCTGCTGGGGTTGAGAGGTACGGCACGGCAGGGCGATTTGGTGCAGACGGACCCCCCCAAGGGCTGGTCGACATGTTTGGACCGTTTTTCGGTCGACAGAACGGTCAACGGTGGCCACTCGGCGACTTGCCCGTTGGACCTCTCATTCGTCGATTCGACTGTTCATCTTCGGTCGTCGGTTTGGCCGACGTCGGGTTCATCTGAAACCGCCCCGTGGCGCCGAAGAAGTCCCCGTGATGTCTCACCGAACCGGTTCCGAACCGCGAACCCAAAACGCCGCTGGCGGAGAAGGAGGGTAGGAATGGGTACGCGGTGGACGGGTGCTCCTGTCACGCACGCGGTGGGAGGGCGAATGAAACGGACGGCGGAGCGATCGGACGCTACCTTCGGGGCTCCTGACCTTATTACGGAGCAAGAACGCTGCTGGGAACAAAGGGCATTCGGATACGAACGGAGCAAGCAGCTACTAAGTCCCAAACCATTCCAAAACCCTCCCGTCTCCGCCTTACTTCGTCGAACGCCTGCGACGACTCGGTGCTCGCTCGCTACCGATGGAAAAGCACAGGAGGCTGGTGATCGCAATGGATCCGCTGGGGGCTCCGGGCATCAAACACCACGACTTCGTGGCGGTGCTGGGCACGGAGACCACGCCAGGCCTGCAGAAGCTCGTGGAAGGAGCCTTCGCAGGTGCGAGTGGAACGTGAGGAGTGGACCTTGCCGCGATCTTGTTCTTTTGGTTCTTTTGTGTGTGTACATACGGAAAGAGATCACACATGACATGTTTTTTGAAAGCCGGAATGTGTTCTTGAAGAATCTTCGCCCCAAGCACTGATCATCACTGATCTATATATCCCAGATCTTCCAACTATGCAAAATGCCTGCCGAACTTGGTTTGTTTTGCCCTTTCTTAGTGTTTTAAGGCATCAATTGTACGGATCTATCGAAACATTCTGCATCATGGTTGTTTTCTTGCGACGACTTTTCCTTCCCATCGTTCGCAGCCATAACCCCACGGGCCGCCGGGCCGTGCGGTTCGCCAGGCGCTGCGACGAAGCCCTTGTACGTGAATCGCATGTATGTGGGCACCTCTTATAGCGATGGAGATGCCTTCACGAAGGATTTCACACCACTTTGCTTGCAAGAGGACGGCATGGTGTGTGTTGTTTTCTTCCCGCCCGGTGTTTTGTGTTTTGCTAATTGTTTGTTGGTCTGTTTTGGTTTGACGTTGTTTTTGTTGCTCATGTGTTGTTTTAAAAATATTTTTTCACGACATGTTTGGAACATTCCAGTCAGTTTCTTTTTGGGTCGGTTGAACGTATAAGTACTTCGTAACACCACTTAATTTTGGTGCTTTTCAGACTAGGGCGACTAGGGATACCTAGACCCTCGTTGGGCAATAAGTCCTACCCAGCTTCATTTAATTGAGACTCAACATGAAGCCGATTTTCACAAAGAACGCCTAAGCTGCAGCCTTGGAGGGTCAAGAACGCCGAGGCACGATCGTTCTTATACTTAGGAGGCAAAGCCAAAATGAAAAGCTTCTGGGACAACAAACGTTTGTCAATTGACGCTGGTCCCCGGTTCATTGTTGTGCACTTGCCCTGACACAGTGCCAAAAGCAAATGGTTCATGCTGGAACATCCAAAGTCTTTGAACTTCATGTTATTCACTGCCCCAAAATGGCTACTACTGTATAGCCACTGATTGTAGTGAGGAGTGCGGGGGCCAGAACGCCTGAGTACGAAGAACGTTTGAGTGACGGATGGATTCTTATTTGTTTCATTTAGTTGACCATTGCCACCTGAAGGACAAGAAGGACCAAGCACAGACCAAGGCCCCTTTACCCATAAGTATAGGCAGAAGTTTCTGCCCAAAAGGAACTTCTCTAGGTATGCGTGATATGTCGTTTGGGGTGGCCGGTGTCCCATCTATTCCAGACAATCCATGGGTCTGATGGAAGAAGAAGAACAAGAAGAAGATGACATCTGAAGAAGACACCACTTATGAAAGACAACTGAAGTCCCATGGCTTGTTTTCGGAATCAGGAAGTCCAAGGTCCACAAAGGAAAGGCAGGCATCCCATCTATACTCCCTGAGGGCGGAGCCTCGTCTGTACACGCGGAATTTCCCTCGAATGTACACGCGGAGAATTGATCTCGTTTGTGCACGCGAAACTCGGATGTGCACGCGGCTTCCTCGGCTGTACACGCGGCTTACACGGCTGAAAAAATGAATGAATGAATGAATGAATGAACCCAACATCATCAATCAAACGCAGAGCGTCTGTGTGACGTGAACCTGTGGAAGCAATGAGCAAAAAGAGATCATCATGTAGATGAATGTCCAGAGGGACGTTATTAACACATCATCAATCAAACAAAGCAATGAGCAAAAAGAGGTCATCATGACTCAATTTGTGTGTGCGCAAATGAGGCGAATCATGTGTGCGCATTTGAGTTTGGGGTAACATGGGCTGTTTAATGAGGAATGTAATCGATGTGTGCGCAGATGAGGCGAATCATGTGTGCGCAATTGAGTTAAATATATAAGAAGTCTGTGTGCGGATGTGAGGGGAATTATGTGTGCGCAAATGAGGCGCCATCCCTCCCTGAAACCCTCATGGTGAAAGTGGAGTGAGTGAGTCCACCACCTGTTTGGTCTTTGGCTTTGTTCCTTGCTCATTCAATTTCTGGGCCTGATCCACCTACTTCCATGCCGGACCTACAAAAAGCATCAATTTCTTGGGGTGTCTAAGTTTCGCTCCTTGAAATTGAGGGTATCCATTAACTTCCTCTTACTAGTAGCGTCCTTGTTCCTAGTAACAGTAGTACGGCCAGGAGCCCCTAGTAGCGTCCTTGCTCCTAGTAGCGATGCCAGGAGCCCCTAGTAGCTTCTTGTTTCAGATTTCTCGTCCCAAGTCCCCGCGGTTGGCCCCAGACCTGCTAGCGATTCGCTGGCGAGTCTGGTGCTGGAAGTCTTCCAGCCAGAAACAGATATCCCGGCTGCTCCAGAAAACACGGCCTAATCGTTGGGGATGAAGACCTGGTGTTTTTGTGAGGACTTCACACATCAAGCCAGTTTGCGTGCGCAAAGGGTCAAGATTTGGGCACGTTTGAGTTATAGCACACGACGACCAGAGGCACTGTTCTCGGGTGCTTCGTTTTGGTGCGTGGGTTCCGGAAGACTCTTCACTGCGGAAGGTATCAGTTTCCTCCAAACATATATGTTTGCATGAACTTCTCTTTAACAGCCCTATAGCCCATCCCATATATGTACCACTACAGGGTCCTATATGTTCTCTCAACTTCTCTTTGACTCATGATATCAATCTGTTTGCAGGAAGTGAAGGTTCGCTCTGATTTCATCAGGTCACTGAAACGTTCCAACATCATTAGCTGTATTAATCGGCTGGTAGCTTAATGAGAAAAGCTTCTTGAATGTGGCAAAAAAAGAAAAGCGACCTCTGCAGGAGCCTCCGTGTGCACCTCTGTGTTGCTTCTATGGCGTTCCCACCGTTTGGATGGCACAAGCCGGCTTCGGCAAGTACCATGGAGGTGGAGATGGTTATCAGCTTCTACCAGTCATGGAGTCAGGAGAGGAGCCCTTTTTGTTGTGAACTCGAGCCTGTGCCTTTTTTGCTTTGTTGGTGAAATCCAGCTACAGTTAGGAAGAGCATTCAACACTCATGCCTATGAATTTGAGAGGTATATAAATGGTGAAATACATTCTAATTTAGAATCATTTAGATAACTACAATAATTCACTACAGCTCCTGACACTTCAGGCGTGTAGGTGGAACATGAATGTTGAGCGTTTTTTTCATTTGAAACAGAACGTTGCGTTCGTCCTCCTGCTTTTCGCCGTCATCCGATCGTTGACAGTTTGGTGAGCCGTCGCTTCTGCGTTCAGGCGGCATTGGAGTGACCATTCCCAAAGAGTTGGCCACCTTTGCCTTGGACATGCGACGCCTGGCTGGGGAAGAATGCGGCATGGGGTTCGATATGGTTCGATATTTTTGGGTTCCACATGGTTGGACCATGTGATTGTCATGTGAGTTGTGTTTCTTTAAACAAACAGATGAGCGGAGATCATACTAAGTCATGCATGTACAACGTATGAGATGATTCACCTGAACTGGGATGCAGCAGCTCTTTTTTTTTCTCTCTCTCTCTCTCTCAACAGCACCACTCGCGCCCGAAGACGCTTGATGACGCGCCAAAAAGGCAAGAACTTCGATGACGACGCGCTGCTGAAGGTCACCGAGTCGCTGAAGTCCGTGGTGACCAGCTTGGCCGACAACGACGCCTTGTCGCGCGGCACGGGTGGGTATGGCGATTTGGGCAATGTGTTTTGGTGGCTGAAGAGGGTCAGTTGGGTGTGAATCATGTCTTTAGTTGAGGGTTGGGAAGGTATAGGAGGTCTCAATTGCTGACCTGTCGGAGGGTCGTGGTATATGCCGTTCCATGGAGGACAGGGTGCTATCTACTTCAGGAAGTCGGGGTGTCACCTCCACGGCCGGACTCGACATGGGACTCGTCCAACCATTCTGACATGGAACCGCTGGGGTTTGTGTGTGTGTGTGTCATATAACGACATAACATGATATAACCCACGGAACATCATGACTTATTTTGCCATTCCCAGGGTGTCCCACACCATCCGTTGATGGAATATGATGGAATACTTGCATACAGTATCTACAGTATATTATATATCTACCTGGGAGGCCGACCAAAAATGCCAACGGTTCTTGAGATTTGTGATTGCGAGATTTTGTGGATGGTTTTGTTGCTTTTCTGGTATGTGTGGTTGTTCGTTCTCTTTCATTGGATGGTAGGCTACTTCGGCTGTTTGATTCGTAAAAATCCGATTGGATGGTTCACAGCTGAGGTCTAGCTTAGTCTACAACCCGAAGGTCTACTCTGACATCTATGCTGCCAACCACGCATGTGGCAGTTTGCGTATGCCGGTGTGTGGCTTTTCTTTGCAAGATGCCGTGAACAACAAGAATGCCTACGATTTTTTGAAGTATGCATTGTCCAACACGCCAGCCATTGATACCCAAGTGGCTAGCACCATGAAGGCCTTTTGCGGAACCATGTCCGATTCAATTCAGAAGATCCTTGAGGTGTACAAAGACGTCAACGAGGATCAGTATTCCATGATCGTTCCAAAGGGATTCAACTCCACCTTGCCCGCAGTGCTGGCTGTCTCGACCATGGCTTTAGACTTCTATGCCGATGAGCCTTACAGACAGCCCTTTTATCAATGAGATCTATATATGGGGCCCCATATGTCTCACCAGATCTCAGTGTGCGAAGCCACAGTGTGAAAACAGCGACCTGGAGAAAGAGAGAGAGAGAGAGAGAGACACCCCCTGGAATTCCAACAAACATTGTATTTTAATAGGAGCAAGAAGCTACTATAGGGGCTCCTGGCCTTACTACTAGGAGCAAGAAGCTATTAATTTGTCTTTATACCGAATGGGTTATCACATTCCAGGACCTGAGCCGTTCGTGACCCGAGATCCGCCTAACGCGGATGTCATGACTTGAGACTCAACTCGGTCACGAACTAAAAGTGGCTGAAAAAATACCATCCCTGGATCCTCCAGTTCGTACCTTAGAAAATGGGACATGAGCCCAATAACAAAACATGTATATATATAGTAACAAGAAGCTACTAGTAACAAGTGCATCGCTATAGTAGTAACAAGTGCCTTACTAGTAGTAACAAGAAGCTATTAGAATTAAATGTATATACTTACAGTACTTGTCGTACTTGTCTTTGTCCGAGCTACCACCGGTCCTTGACGTCCAAGCAAAAACCGCATCCAGGGTCCGGCGGATCCACGAGGGTTGAGGTTTCTGCCGATTGAGCATAACGTACGTATACCCTGCGATTGAGTGTTTCTCACGTGAGAACAAATCGATCATTAGTCAATCTGGTGGTGAAGGTATACAGATTCAAATTCATGGTTTGCGAATCCAGTCCAGGCATATACCTGCCTATACATCAACTGCAGGTCAACCACCCTAGGTCGCTGTGTTTTTCGATCCCAGACGGCGCGGTGTATCGAAAGCACCTCGTTGCGGACCACCGTGGCGGAAAGCCCGTACTGTGACCACTCGTCGCGGAATCTGCGTCTGGAGGAGGCCTAATTACCATTTGAGGTGGGTTTGGTAACACCTTCCAAGACCGGAAAACTGCTTGAATCTGGTTGTCTAAAATCACACCAAGAACAGCGTTCGGTCAACAAAACCCCTGAAAACAGCTGGTGGCTTGCCCAGGAAGCCTGAAATCCTTCGTGCGAACGCGAGCTGGGCGTAAGCCTCGCCCGAACACGAGGCTTCGGATGCCACTGGAAGACGCGGTCGGCAGGTGGGGTCGGACGACGGGTGCGGCTGGGAAGTCCATCCTCCCTATAGGCCTATCGAACCATTGTTGTAGCCATTCGGTCCTTCAATACCATAGGGTTTGGTTCGGGTCCAGGAGCGTCTGGGTACTAAGGGTTTTACACTCACCGAACCAGGGTCAACCGTTTAATGGTCGAACGGAAGTCGGCATGGGAACACGTCGGTGGATGAGTCAGTCTGGGCATGATAGTTTCTGAAAATGATGCTGAACCGCATCAAATGCGGTGACGTGGCTTGCGTTCGTGCGAAGCAGGCTTGTTTTGTTTTCATGTATTGACCTAGGATGGGCAGTGGATGGGCATAGCATGGCTTCCGACAAGCACAGCGAGGTACAGTGGCCAAGAGCTTGGAGCTTGGTACGACTGGAAAGAGCTTGGCCAGCGTTCCAACATGCCAAGTGTATAATGGTCAGATCACACCGAAGACACGAGACACGACGTCCCATGGGACGACTTACTTACGACACGACGTCCCATGGGACGACGACATATATGTAGGGGTGGTTGACCTGGGGCCAATGTAGGCATACATTCCCCATGGAGTGTTGAGTCATGTGGGTAACCGCCTTTGCAGATCATCCAGCACTGGCAGTACCCAGACGCTCCAAACAGCCCTTGGTCTCTCAAAACAATAGGGATTTGAGGGTCCAGACCCCTCCATATGAGGGTCCGACCCCTGCATATGAGGGGTCAGGAGCGTCTGGGTAAGAGAAAATGAGAGCACAGAGTACACGACGTCTAAACCTATCTCAAAAAGCGAAGAATAAATGTCATACGCCAGTGTGTTGCTGATTTGAACCAGCTGTGCAAAGAAGCAAGTAGACATATACCCCGTGTTCTCAGAAAACCTACCAGCATACGTACCCAGCATTTCTTGATCCCAGACCATTGATGTGACTGGAATAGTTACGTAGGTATAAATGTAGGTAACTATTCCAGTCCCATCAGTCGTGTCTGGGGATTGCGGCCATTTGAGAACCGAGCAACCCGGCTGTCGCCGACTTTATGGCGTGGACCGAAGCGCACACGTGCTCAGGGGCAGCACGGGCATAGGTTTGGGGTGTCCCATCACTATTTTAGAGAAAGGCCTACAACCATCATCCACAGTTTACAGGGAATTTGGCTATGCCCAAGGGCCGTCAGTTGGCTGCACCGCATGGACATGAGCCATGGCAGGAGCTATTCCCGAAGAAAGATGGCAAGTCGAATAGAACATGGATTGGATGTGGGCTTTTATGTTGAAAGATGAATTGAGTTGCCAATTCGTTTGCCTCATGGCAGAGGTATGGAGAGTTATGATATATGGCCTGATATGGCTGTGAGTCAAAACCCAGAGCCGTTTTACCGTAGGTTGACCCCAGTGTCACTCACCGTGTGCGATCGACGGTCTTCAAGTAGCCCCGAACGTCGCGTCCGATCGCTCCGTTCGTAGCGATGCCAGGAGCCCCGTTCGTAGCTTCTTGTTCCGGTCTCAAAAGAAAGAGCCAAACACTGAATCCCTGCGACGAAAACGATCTCCCTGCATGGTAGTTTGTGCAATGGTGGTGTGAGAAGATTTCTCCCAAGTGCACTAGACCAGGTTGCAAAACACATACCTGATGAAGGACTCGACTGGAGTGACTAGAGTAAAAGAAGGTCTTCAGACCATTCTTCTGAGAGTCTGTCCGACTCCCAGGGTACATCTGAAATGATCTTGGACTCAGAAATAACTCTGCCTGTGTTCCACTCATGGTGGGATTTGTTTTCCCCGGCGGAAGTACCGTTCGGATCCATTCACTAAGAGGCTGCGAACTGCTGAATCCAGGGACATGATGCCAGACCCTTCTCCAGATTAGAGAACACTTGAAGTATCTTGAAGTCCTCCATAAATGATGCGAATCCAATGACGTAATGGAACAACAGTTGCCGATCGTAGGAATTGGGAAATTGACCATGATCATGCCCAGAATGGAATCCAATTTTTTTTGTACTGGTGTTAGGTGTGATGTTCATATCTTCTCGTTGGTGTTCCGTTTTCTTTGTGTCTCTCAGGTCATCTCAAGTCTTTTCACTGCCACATTCTAGCGCCCTTGCTGCCACCACCTGCCACTTCAACAAGTCATTTCACGACCTCGGTCGGGCCCGTGCCACCGCAGCATGGGTGCCGAGGTGGGTGAAGGTGGAGACTTGTTGAAGTGGCAGGTGGTGGCAGGTATAGAAGATTCTGAAACAGGGATGTCATTTTGCACCCACTGTGTGCTATACAGTGCAAGCGGGAGCACAGGAGCACGGTTGAGAGTGCAGGTTTTGACATGACTTAAAAGCCTTACAAGTGGAACTCACAAGTGCATTGCTATGAAAACCTCTCTCGGCCAAAGCAGGATGAGCCTTCCTTTGTCCAACTGGTCGCCGAAGCAGGAGCTGATGCTTGGACGTAGGAGGAGGGGATGGTTCTGGGCGAAATCGAGGGATGAGACCTGAGGTTGGAGGCCATCACCAGTAGGGTGAAGGCCATGGCGACGTTTTGGTGAGGGCGATCCTTTTTCCGTGCACGTCGTCAGTGGGCGAAGGGCGAAGAGTCATGTCGGTCTTTCGGTCCATGTTTGGTCCACCCAGGGTGCCTTTGAATCATGTGGGTTGCAGGGTTTCAACTCACACGGTGTGACATCTATACATAATTAGAGGACCTCAAATCCTGTCCCTATCTGGTTCTTCCTTGTCCGTTTCGCGATCGCTCGTAACTCTGGGGAACCCCCTGATTGTGAGTTTGCTTCCATTCACAAATATCACCTGGATTAGTTGATGCTGCGTGCTCTCCCGTTTTGCCGCTGGCTGTGATCCTGCATGGTACCTCAGCCTCAAGATGCAGAAAAAAAATAGAGGACCTCAAATCATGACTCGAAATCGATAGATCATCAGCACCATTGAGCGAATTGAGATCCCCAGCACCATCCATGGGACATCATGGCACTGGAGATAGCTTTACCATGCTTCGGACACCCCATGTCCAGCCGAACCATCACGCTTCGGCTGAGGAACAAGATGTACCAGGCTAGCTGGCCGGGCGGTTTCCGATCTGCGGTGCATGTGCTGGCTGGTTTGGAAGAAGGCTTTGAAGATGACTTGGCTTCCATCTATGTCCCTTCCATGTGCCAAGAGTTGTATATGGACCCCCAAATAGATAGAAGTTAGAAGGATCCCCACCTATAGGAAATGTATTGAAAGCCGTTTCTATCCACCTCCTGCCCTGAGGCGCAGGTGCTTTGGGACGAGTACATGGCCAACACGGCTCCGCGTCGGGAAGCGGGCGCTCCGCTCGGTTGGGTCAACACCGTGCCCACCGAACCTGAGCGGACAGGAGCCCTAGGCCCTGGCGGTATTTTCCTGGACCTCAACCAAGTGGTGTATTGTCCTGGACCTTGACTGTCTGGAGATCCCGCACAACGTAGTGGGGGGCGAAATCAGCCAGGTGACCCCACACGGGTACGGAGCTGGTTGTATGATTGGATTTTAAGTTGTACAACATGCACTGACAAGTCAAGTCACTGTCTCAGCTCTCTTAATACTTATTCAGCTGATGTTGCATCGCCTTCTGAGTGGATCGTCCCTTGCTTGCTTGCCGTTCAGCGATTGCCGCGGCAATCGCGTGGACATGTCGCCTCTTCTTTCGCTGCCCGAGGCCGCGAAGTATTTGACCGATGTGGGTGGCCGCTTGGTCGTACTGGCGGGCACCAACCACGTGTGGCGCGACGCCATCCCCGAGCGCTTTGAGCGGATGACGGCGAGTCGGGCAAGCGCAGGCGAGGGGTGTCAAATGAGGAGATGTACTGAAAGTTATGTGAGGCAGAAGCTTCTTAAAGCTGGGGGGTGGGGGTCCAGAATGCTTCATCCATGATATACATTTGAATGTTATACCTTTTTTTAGGGATGGGTTGAACCAAGTGAACTGAAACCACCACCTTCCAAAGGATATCCGATAGTACAGTGTTTTGCGTAGTCCAGACACTCGGAACAGATGCTCCTGGAAGCTGTTTTGTCATCTTTGACGTGTTTCTATTCCTTTTTTTGGGGGGCACATCTTGGAAGATGCCACTGATGGATCCTGTGTTTTCTTGCGATGCAACACATGGAGACATGGTTCTATTCGCCGGTACCGGTACCAGTCGGGTCCAGTCATAGCGAAGCCTGAGGTTCGGTAGGACGACGGGCGCCATCACCCCTTCACCTGCAGGTGATCCACCTCGGAAAGCTGTCTCTGTGGTCACTTGGCCCAAGGAAGCGAGGTTCAGCTCTCACCCACGAGCTTCCAGGAAGTCGGGCCAGGGGTGTGCCGAACGGAGGAAGGAAGGATAGGGGTGCCGCGACGTCACATCCACTCACTGAAAACCATGTCCGACCTGGAACTGCTGGTTGTTTGTTTTCCCGAATGCGAAGCGAAAGGGTTCCGGTTCCCGAGAAGCAGTCTGGGCGTGGACCTGTGGAGACCTCGTGACACCAGGTGTGCATTCGGGTTCGTGGGTTCCTATCACCCTAGGGATCCAGTCGTACCTCCTCAAAAGGTACTTGGACCCTCCAAACCCACCCCAAACACCTTCTCAGGGGTACTTGGATCCTTAGGGTCAGCTTTCTTTTAAGGCTTGTGAACGTTTCAAGAACAGTTGAGGCAGCATGCCTTCGTCCAATCGGGCATTTCCAACGCCATCCAGTGCCCGCCTCCCGCTCAGATCGTCCAATCGGATGGTCTCCAATACGAAGGCGAACGGATTGATGATGTTTCGAGCTTTGAGTTCTCAATACAGTACGTCCCTTTGTTCCTATTAGTAGCTTCTTGCCCCGTGCGTAGGATCCGATCGCTCCGTTCGGTTCGCGATGCCCGACATGCTCCGTTCGTAGCGTCCTTGTTCCTATAACTACTACTGGTATAAGCATCACGACATGCCAAGTTGTTCACTCAACATCACGGGTGCCTCCTGTCCTCCCGAACGGCATCGGCTGGATCTCGCCTCGGCCCGACCGGTACACCGAGCGAGCGAACACGACGCGCCGGGACCGAGGTGTCAGATCCTCCTTAGACAGTGTCCTGAGACCCTTTTTCGGCGTCCAAAACGCGAAATCCACCCAATCACACGAATTCTCGCCCGATCACAAAAATTCACGCCCGAATCACGCCGATTCTCGCCCGAATTGAAATGTCGGACATTGCTTTAAAACTGCAGATTTGCAGGTTGGGTGATTTACAAGTAATTTGCAACATTTGCCTGAATAACGATTTCTGCCCGCAGGCAGTTTTTGAGGACAAACCCTGGTTCAGGCAGATTTTCTTGAACAGGCAGAAATTTGAGCCTCAATGAGGGTCCAGGTATATATAGCTTCTTGCCCCGTGCGTAGGGTCCGATCGCTCCGTTCGGTTCGCCATGCCCGACATGCTCCGTTCGGTTCGCGTCCTTGTTCCTATAACTACTACTGGTATAAGCATCACGACATGCCAAGTTGTTCACTCAACATCTACGGGTGCCTCCTGTCCTGTTTGAACGGCATCGGCATCGGCTCTCGCCTCGGCCCGACCGGTACACCGAACGAGCGAACACGACGCTGCTGGGTGAGGTGCCATGGCGTGGGGAGCAACTGCCACCTTTAGGCGGAGAGAGCAACTGGGGCACGTCGCGTCCGTACTTTGCTGCGAAGTTGAAGTACTTTGCTTTCCCTTTAAGAAGTCGAAGTTGAAGTTGAAGATGTCATGAAGCTCTGGGAAGTCGAATCCGGGGTGTCCTGTGCTGGTCGTTTGGAGATCCCGGTTGATCCACGGGCCGAGTGGGCGAAACCAGCCAGGTGACGATTCGATCGGATGGATCCACCGCCATGACCGGCGCCGTTTCACTCGGTCATTCGGCGCCGGTCATAGGAGTGCGAATCGAACCCCGAAACGACCTGGAGAAAACGAAAACTCCTCCAGTCCCAATCATAATATGTTTCAAGCATCTCAAGCTGGCGCCATATTTGGATCATATCAGACATGATCAGACCAAGTCCATGGTGGTTTCTGCTTGGGCCTGGACACCTCCGGGATGGTTTGAACATGTTTGAACTTGTCTTGTTGCAGAGGTGCTTGCGATTTCCTGGTGCCCATGGAGGGCCCTGGTGGTGGGGAGGAACTGGCCCAGGACTCGAGAGAAGACCGGTGCTCCGACCGAAAGCGGAAGAGAAAAGAACGACTCCCAGACCATCCGGACTGGAATGTTGATTCTTATTGATTCTTCAGTGAAGACCATTCAAAGAATGACCTTGGTTTTGGCATGTGTAAAAAGTGTCTTCTTTAGGATTCAGACCATCAAGCCACCGGTTGTTCAAATCCTAAGGTTCATAACACCTGGACTTTCCTCGAGGTGTCCTGGCTGGAGATTCATTCCTAGCCTGGGGGATCTCTAGCCAGGGCAACCCGAGGAAAAGGATGGTCCTGGTACTTGTTGGGCTGGTTTTGTGATGTTCAGACGTCAATGGCGCTGGTTAGTTCGAATTCCAGTGCCATGGCACCCGACCATTTGGGGACTTCGCGAGCTGCCGCTTCACGCCCTCCACCCGCAGCAGGACTTGTTGCGTCAGCGTGAGCGACTCCGAGGGCAGTCGCGGGTCTTCCCGGCCGGATACCTTTGAGCACGATCGACCAAAAAGGTGTTGAAGATGCCTTAACTTGAGCACACCCCGGATACCTTCGGAGCGAAGATCTGAAACAGCTCGAAAGATGTGGAACAGGTCTTTCTTTTGGTGTCCTAGTTTGGGGGCCAGGTCCTTGGAAGGTTACTGTCGGATGTTTCTCGGATTTGGATGGCGCCATCCCAGAAGGGAACCAGACAAACACCAGAGAGGTCGAGGATTAACAGACCCGATTCTGGCGCTTCCAGACCTGCCTCCCGATCGACGATCTGTTTCGCGGACGGACCACGCAGTGTTCGCGCAGCCATGTGCAGACGATGTCCCAGTGGATCCTATAAACTTGTTCGTCTTTCCCAAAACATCCAGGCAAACCAGTATAGCTGCATAGCTGGTAACCAGTTCCAAAGACTAACACCAATTCGACCGGTTCCCGAATCCCTGGTTCCTTATGTTTGGGAACCAGGTCCTTCCAACTGTTTCTTTCTTTGGACCCTTCGAATCACCTCAAAGAGGCAGATACCTCAAACAGAAGGTCCTGGCAGCGACCTCGTGCTTTGCATTCATCCAGCCACTCCCTCTTTCGATTCGATCCGGGGCCACCGAGTCGGCGCGCACTGGGCGGTCCCACTTCGGCTCCAGCCGGCCGTGCGCACCATCTTCGCCTCGCCTTCGAACGACGGGAAGTGCGGCGCCTCGACGCGTCGGCGTTCCGGTGCGTCGCGATCTGAGAGGCTGCGGGTTCGAATGGAGCAAGCCAAGGGGCGAAAGGGATGTGTTCAATGTTGTTCGATTCATGTTCAATCGGTTTTCTTTCGGAAGAGATTTGCTGGGCAGGACCCCGTGTATGAATGAAAACCAAATTAGTATAGATCTGCGAACTGGTCACTGAGTAGACATCGATTGCCGCAGCACATGTGGCCCAAAAAGGCTTTTTGGGTCGAGTTCTCGAGGTGATGTGCATTCAGATCTGCTGTGAACCCCAAATACACACGTTATGTCACGTTACGTCCGGAAGCTCACTTCGCTGATTCCATTGACAGAGGTTCCCGTTTCACGGGCCTTGCGTGCCTCACCGTGCCATCGCTTCCTTTGCCTGCAGTTCGTTGTGAGCGGGAAGCGGTGACGTCTGGAAACCATTGGACCACCGAAACGCCATGCTGCACATGGAGGCGACGAGCACACGAGGATTTCCACCGACTCCCTTCGGGTTTGGGAGACCGGTTCCGGAAGTCGGTGTAGCGCGTAGCAGAAGCTCGCATATGACACGGCCGGAATGGTTCGACTTGTCTTTAACCAGTCCGGCGACATGGGACATGGGTACAAAAACATCATGACTTACCCAGACACTCCATGTATGCCATATATGCCTACATTGGGGTGGTTTTAGGGGTCAATGTATGTAAATATGCCATACATGGAGTGTCTGGGTTATAAGGATCCCCACTGAAATTCGCACCCCAAAAAAACACACGAAAACGGTGTTGAGAATGAATTGGAACGGCATGAGTGCAGATGAGTGCAGGTCAGTGGGTCTCTTGATTCGGGGCTAGCAGTCATCCGCGCTGCTGAACACCACTCCACACCACTGAAACACCACCAAAAAGGGCGTCGGGGGCGACTGTCACGACGCTACGCTTATCGGAGGCTCCGCCGGAGGCTCGTGGCAAACTGGAGTCCTTCGATTGCAAGGAGAGTTCCGGGGACCATTGGATCGGACTCGACGGGCGACGGGGGCGGGCGCTTTTTTGTGCTGCCAGGACCTTCCACACTGGGAAGGTCCTGGTGCACTTATATGAGGGTGTTAGGAGACTTGGATAACAACAGAGAACTGGAGAAACATTGTTAGTGTTGGGGTCTTCAATTCAGGTCCACGGAGTTTCATTGCATAAGCTTCACACGGCCGCCGCGAAGCTCCATTTTCTTCGACCTCGGTCGTGCTTTCCGGTCTTGACCTCGGCTTTGACCGTCTCCGTCTCTCCTCGGTGCGAGCATCAAGTGCCAGGAGGATGTGTACAAGGAGTTGGACACGGGAGCCACGGCGATCATGTTGAGGCGAACACGACGCAACTCTCGACGTTTTTACGTCACAGCTGGTGGTCGACGTGGTTCTAAATTCGGTGGTCACAGGTGGTCACCTTCCCTCTTGGTCCATGCTATACCCGAATTGGCCTATACTATTGAATTCATGGTGGGCCAGGAATCCTATAAAGGGATAGGGAAAGACCCCTGTTGCCCTGCAGAAAAGAAAAAAGAAAACACTATTCCCTCATTCCGAATGCCTGCCTGCCTCCCCACGACTCGGAGCCTCGGCTCGTATGTTCAGCCCCTCGGAGACTCGGACCGCCCGACGTCCAGGCGGCTACCAGCCAAGTTCACGGCGGAATCGCTGATTCAGGTGCTGGATGAGATCACACCAGGCGTGCCGCCCGTTAGAGCGGCGTGCCGCCCTGTCACAAACAGCGCAGTCAGGGGGTTGTGGGGGTTCTGCGTGGGTTCGGTGCGGCACCGTGGGCTCAGCATGGTTTGGCACCTCGAACTCAGAGCTCCATGCGGAAAAACCTACGCATCGCCAAACGTGAGGAACGGTTTTGCTGTTCCGCCGTGTTCTGCCGTGGGAACACGCGTGCATTGGCTGTTCCGAATCTGGTTTCCAAGGGTTTCTCACCAATCCGGCTTGGAGGGGCCACGCCAGGAACAGAGCGACGGAGCGATCGCCGGGTGGTGTGTCTGGGGTGGGACGGAATCCAGGCCGCTACAACTTTGTCTACGTGCCCCACGACAAGCGCAAGCTCCGAAACTTGGCGCTCGCCTTCGTGAACTTCAGCGAGCCTTCTGCAGCACAGCAGCTTGGACACCAACACAGCTCCAAAGACGTCGGTATCCGACTTCTTCCCAAACCTCGCAAGACTTGGGACTTGTAGGGTGAACTCTAGCCCTATACAGAAGTCCGTGTTTTTACACGGGCCTCATGGTTTTTCACCACTCGGCTCGGTTTAACCCCATGTTTCCTTCTGTTTTGCATGTCACCGGACCCAGTTTTTCACCGGTACGTGCCGGTCGTATTCGTCGCCAGGCAGGCCTATGACTTTTTCAAGAACGTGAAACACCCGGTGATGGGCCCCAGCGTGCGAGTCTGTCAGGCCGGGGAGAGGCAGAGGAGATAAAGACGTGAAGCAAAGGAGGGAGGGAAAGGCTTGGAGACGGGAAGTTCAAAAGAACACCTGAACGAATGGCAAGGGCCTCCAACCTAGAAGCGATGGCCTCCAATCGCGATGGCCAACCTACTTGCCTACTTCAGGAATTCACCCAAAAACACATCAAGGGGTTGGAGTTGCTGTTCCGAGTAGTCACATTGGTAGTCACTGAGTGTTTTGGTGCTGTGGTGAAATGTGGTGTTTTTTTTCCCTTGTCTCATGTATTGATCAGATTAGTTCTTTGGGATTCAGACTATTAGGCCAGGAAGCCTATCAGAAAAGCCAATCAAGTGGGAAACCATCCCCTTTCTTCCAATTCTTGTTCAACGACTTGCAGCTGCTTGTTCGCTTCGATTCACACCGTGTTCTGCCTCCTCCACCCGCGAGGCAGATATCCAAGGCCTTGGCAGCAATCTGGCCTATTTCATGGCAAGGTCGGCAGACCGGTCGGCAGATCTGACAGGGTCGGTGACGGTCGGTGTGACGGTCGGTGATGTCTCAGAGGTGGGGTATAGACCCCCCTAACCACCCCACCCTTTTTGGGCCCAGCGAAGCGAGTGAACCGAGTGAACCGGCACAGAGTCCGGACGGGAAAAGGATAAGAAGAACAGTCCGCATTGTCATCGTGGACTGTACCTGACCAAGATTGGAAGCTTTGTAGCCAAAGACTCATTGGACCCTCAGTTCGCCAGAGTTTTAACCCTCACAGCCAGGGTTTTGGACCGAGCCCACATGTAGCAGTTTGAGGGTCCATGAGCCTCTGGGTAGCAGCTATAGATCGATAGTGAAATCACCGGGCAAGAACAAACATATACTTTCAATGGTCCCAGGCAGAGGCCAGCATACGCCAGCTTGTTCCTGGAAAAAGACTCGTTGCGGCTGCACCTTAGCCTTTGACCATGAAAAGGACCTGGTTTTGTAGTCTGAAAATCCTTATTATACAAATAGTCAAATACAATTCAAATACCTGGATCATCCATAGTGGGTGTCCAATAGAAATAGACCGTGGTCTCCATTGGGCAGTGCTAGGTATGTATTTTGGAATTAGGAAAGGCATGCGGACCCAGACGCGTCGTATCGTGCCTCGCCATGAATTCTCCAGGTTTGGACTACAAGAGATGGGCAATCCGCACGCACCAATGGTCTTCGAAAACGGAGTTCGTCAAACCAACATGGTGGAGGTGCGAGGAAAGAAAACGTCGTTCTCTTTCAGCACGTGAAGTCTTCGCATGAAGTGAACATGAAAAGATCACCTCGAGTTGTGAGCGCTTCAAAGCTGTGCAGATCGCTTCAAGTCCTTGGGAATCCAGTGTCGTTGACGTGGCGGTGCAGGCCGTGAAACGCCACGTGACGGTGGACTTGCTCGTGCAAGTGCGGCGCCGAATTCGGGGAAGGGGGCGGTCCGCTGGAGGATGGTTTCGCTGGAGGACTGGGGGGGGGTCCGATAGTTTCAAAGTACATCGCTACTAACAAGTGCATCACTAGTAGCAAGGGCATCGCTAGTAGCAGCTTCTTGCTAGTAATGCACTTGTTACTAGTTTCAACCTGACGTCTCTCCCATGGGTTTTGAGGTCACTAGATGGGGCTCCAATGTTCGGTCACGAAGTGAAAAAGCGAATCACCGGTCGCTCGGGGTGGTTTTCAGTCCCCGTCTACGTGAATGGATGTGACAGGGGCACCCTGACTACCTCCGATCGCACCCCTTTGGAACTGCTGGTAGGTCGACATAGATCGTGCGAGGAACAGCGACCACCACATCTAATTTGGACATCGATATGTCCAAAGAGTTGAAAATTTTTGAGATGAGATCTCAACTGTGGCTTGATGGCACATGAGAGATGGAGCTGTATGGCAGTCCCATTCGTCGTGTCCGGGTAATGCCACAGACCCTGATCCAGTCGTATACCGAACCTGTACGACGTACGACCCGAAGCATGGCACCGGCTTGTCTCAATCACAGTGTCTCCTTCCGGGACCGTCGTACCCTGAGGTTCGGTACGACTGGTACGGATCCCTAGGTGGGTCATTCCCTAGGGATCCAGTCGTACCTTCTCAGAAGGTACGACTGGACGCTCCAAGCCTACATAAGAGTGTCTTCAATCACCTTCTGAGAAGGTACTTGGATCCCTAGGGATTCACCATCCCTCTTGAAAACGATGTCCTATACGGGGGAATACGGACACCGACATGGTTCATGATGGGGTCCGTGAGGCCCACAACCGGATGGAAATGCAAGCCATGAAGATCGCTGTGCCTTGGAACGATCGGATACGAGCAGCGCACGGGCGAGCGCACGGACGAGCGAGGCGCAGGAGCGACGGCCCAACAAGCGCGGCGTGGTGCGTAGCGTCCGATCGCTCCGTTCGGTTCGCGATGCCCGAAATGCCCTTTGTTACGTTCGGTTCGCGTCCTCTTGCTCCTAGTAAGGCCAAGAGCCCCTGGTCAGTGGCCCTGGTCAGTGCCCTGGTCTTCTTTAGATCAACCAGTAAAGCCAACGGAACGAGAGCGACATGCAAGAGCGACCCGTCCATTCCCACCGTCTGACCCGTCTGACCCGTCGGAAACCTCAAAGTCAATCCATCCACTTCCTCCTCGCCGCAATATTCACGAGTCAAAACTAAACTCTTTCTTGGTTTGACGGTTTGACATGGTTTGACATGGTTTGACAACTTGACAACATCTGAGCAGTTTGTCAACTCAGACAACGACAGACGGGTGACTTAAAATTTGACAATTCCGCAGTGTTCAGAGCCTCCCATCGCGATGGGAGGGTCAAGATCTGCAGCTCCACAGCTTTGAAAGGTGATCGAGGTATTCGAAAGTTTGGAGTCAAAAAAACGCACGATTCGTCATGCAGTGAACATTCGTCTCTCTTAGCGCAGTAATCCCACAAAACGCTTCGATCCCCCTGGTTTTCAGTGCACACCTCGAGTGTCACATCAGCGGATGGCGCTCGTTCTCGCCCCACGTCCGGCGGATCTCGCGCGTGTTGAGCCGAGTTCGGTTGGCCGTTGACATGAGGGCCGTGGCTGTGCTGTGCCGTTGTGGCCGTGCCCTAGGCTCCTCAAGCCGCTCCAGAGCCGGTGACACAGTGGAGACTGAGCTGAAGTTGGCAGAGATGGCTTTGAAGCACAGAAAAATTATGAAAAAAAGTATCAGAAACGCCAAAAACAATCATGAATTCATCATCATTAATGATCAATTGTAGTCCATGTTTGGGAGTGTGTGATACACATGTGCAGATGAGTCAATCGTGCGCCTCGACTCTTTGCTGCGACTAAGTGGACCAATGCAAACCACTCGGAGGAACTTATCTTCACGTTTGTCATCTGTCTTTACCCCTCAAACCACCCCTCCTCTTGATAGATGCAGAGGCATCAATTTTGCACAGTTGGAAGAGCTATAAGGTATGTTGAATGCAAGATCTCTTCAGGTGATGTAGCCGCTCGTGGACGTTTTCATTCGTGGATTGCCTAAGATTCGTGGCCCACGCTGCATAGGTCGCCGGTCGACCTTCCAATTTTCATCGCGGGGTCCGACCCCAGGTGGTCCAGTCTCCTGGTCCTTTTCAGGTATCCTGTTGTATGGTTTTTCCAGGTAAAGTGAGGTGAGTTCCGGAGAAAACGACGCCTCGTTGGACCGCGCAGGGCATCCCAGTCGCCAGCCTCCAGGACTGGATTTTGGTGCGCGGGGGAAGAGGGGAGACCTTGTGGAGACATAGCGTTTTGGAGACATGGACAGAGATCTTTTCGTACATCCACTCAATCAAATATTTTTGTTCATATTTCCAGGGAGCTCCGGCACCCTAACAGAAGAACCCTTGAAAAAAGAGGCCGACGCACCAGTCGGCTAGATAGAGACCCGATCGGAATCCAGTCGTACCGAACCTCAGGTTCGGTACGACTGGACCCTCCAGAGACATGTCTCAGTGTCGAACACATCACCGTATGGTGCCGGTGGATCAATTTTGCTGGTACCTAGCGCTTCCAAGAGGTGCCCAATGGAGACCTGTAAGTAGTGTGGAGATGTCCATTGGTGACCCCCTGGAAGCAGCTGGCTATAGGTCGTGTTCTTTTTTGCTTCTGGGGGTTTGTGGGGTGTTCGATGAAAACGACGAGGTGAACAAAGAGAACTCGACATGCCGGGACGACTGCGCGGTCCTGCACCAGTTCGTTGTCAGAGACAGTTCAGTTCTTTCCGCTGGAGTAAATCCCAATCCATGAGACAGGAACCAGCACCACCCAAAGAGTGGTTTATAGACTCCCCTGAAGATGTATTTCCCATCTAATAACCACCCCTTGGGTGGTGCTGGAATATATAGTTTATATGATCATTAGACCCTGAAAGAGTCTCAAACGTGCCCCAAATAGGGCCGATGATTGCCATTCCATACCCCCGACTAAACACACAGGTCCCCACCGTCGCGACGTGAAAACGTCTACAAGAACGCCTCCAGCCATGGGAGACCAGTGTGGCTCGGTGTTGGTATACGGCTACCTATGCCACCTATGCTGCTGAGCTGTTACATGTGACTCCGCAAAAAGCCATCGCTCCTGCCGGCGTTCGCCATGCGGGTTCAACGTCGGTTTTTCACCTGCGTCAGGAGGAGCAGTCCTCCAACAACACCAGTTCCAGCAAGCAGGGCTTCGTATGTCGGGGCGCCGAGGTCGACGACGACAAGAGGTTGATTTGGACGGTTTGAGGGGGGCGTCCTTGGTTGGGGGAATCTACAGAGCCCCGAGAATTCAATTAAGGAATCCGAAGAGCAGTCTCCAACCTACTTGCGATGGCCTCCAACCTAAGTATAGTGTGTTTAATAAATGTTTGAATGGACATAGTGAGCAAAAAGATGAAACACCTCCTGGACCCTACTTCAAGTTGCCTTGAATGGGACATGACACGACCCTATTGAGACAAAGGAACAGGCAACAACCGGTAAATACTAGACTGTATACGGGCTGTCCTCATGTTCAGAGCTACGCGTCCGGGTCGACGTCGGAGTGCCACCGATGCCGATCGACTCGGACGTGCGACTCGGCACGTCCCGGACGTGAGGACAGTCTCAGACTGGACACTGGACATCACTGGACCCATGGGATTGGATGATTGGCCGACATCCAGAGTCAAGTCGACTATATAAAGAATGGTCTTGACGAGTTCGGTGACCCGAATCGTCAAGGAATATCCTGGTCCAACTGTAGCCGGTAAGGACATCTGGTCCAACTGGACTTCTAGGGACAAACGAACCCCTTTCAGCACCCGAATTTCTGGGTTTTCCTATGCCAGTCCCATCAGTCGTGTGGCATGAGTCGAGACTTGATCCTGGTGCTAGAGCACCTTGTGGAAATAACCTCGTGGGTCTCAAACTTCCTGGTCACACGTCTTTCAAAAGCAGCAGCCAGCTGTTCATGTTCGTGACTCGGTGACCCAAAGGCCCATCCGGTAGTTCGGTTACGGAAGGAGCAGACCGGACCCGGGCGCGCCGGAGACGTGTGAACAGATGGGAGAGAAGGATGAACTTCCATCATAACATCAGGGACCCCGATGAATCATGGACCCGAAGAGCGAGTTTTGTTTCCGAAGTTTCTAGTTTAGCAAGAAGCGATCAGGTGGAGGCCATCGCTAGTAGGTTGGAGGCCATTACTATACTAGGAACAAGAAACTACTACCCAGACGCTCATTGGACCCTCACAACTAGGGTTTTGGACCGAACCAACATGTAGCAGTTGGTTCGGGTCCAGGGTGGCGTCTGAGTGGGTCCACAATCACATACAACAACAAGGTAAAGGGGTGTCCTGCCTGGAGGTCCCTTAGTAGTGTAGGGGCTTCCATTGGTGACCCCTTTGAAGGTGCTGGTATACCATGTTTGGAGCAGTCGTCGATGCTACCGGGGAATGCCCACTCTCGCCTTCATCACTCTCTCTCACCTCATCTCACCTCCTCGCCATGCTGCCCACTCATGTGAGGCATTGCCCTGCCCACCCGATATTCCGATGCCAAGCTTCTCACAGCCTTGCCAAGGCACGGGGACGGAAGCGGGCGGCCGTTTCAGCCGAAGCCGGGACTCGTTTGCGATGTTGCTCATCAAAAAATGGATGTTAAAGGCCAGGCCAGGAAACTCCTACAAAGGGGTCACCTCATTTAAAACTCCTATAGACGTCACATCGGGCAGGGATCTCGGACACGCCTTCTGAAGAGGTCATTTCTTCCACCTTCAAAGTGATTGAGATCCCAGGGATTTTCGATATACCACGGATTCGACCCCTAAAAGAGGTCAACCCCAAAATCTCGGATTCGACCGTTCCAAGAGGTCAACCCCCAAATGTCGCTCGTCAACGGTCACGCGCCGCGCATGTTCGCTCGACCGGTCGAGCATCGGATCGCGTCTGGACACCCGTCGGTCTCGTGAGGAGCCATGGCGCCGTACAGTTTTCAAGGCCGGCGCCATGTTTCGGGGGGAGACCGCGCGGTGCGCGCCGCCCTGCCGGGCGAAGCGGTTTCAATCGGTCGGACCGTGGCGAGCGCGTCGAGGTGATCGAGGTGAAGGAGAGTCTTCTGCGCATGGAGGGAGAGCGATCCTTTCTTTTTGGAAGCGATCCGGGGCTGATCCACGGTGGTAGCTGTGACCAGTGTTTTTGGGGGAGGTGGGGTGTTTCGCGTGTGAAAGAGCTTAGGGATTACACTCCCGAAAACTTGGAAAACCACCTGTTTGTAGTGGAAAATGGTCTTCCAAGGGGCCATTCTCCACTTCCATGTTAGTTCCAGGGAGTGTAATTTATATTCAATTAATCCGATGCATTGGGGACGCACATTTAGAGGGGGGCAGGATGGCTCGAAGAAGAGGTTGGCTTGACCAAAGAGGATGTGTGCGTGGCATGTGCGCAGCAATGGACAAAATGAATGTGAAACCACACCTCTTTTTCTGAGCAATTTGAACCCAGGTCAATTTGTCAAGAGGTTGTGGGGGTTCATGAAACTGTCACGAGACGCTTTGTTGATCAAATATCTAAATGCAGCATCATTCATTCTCATCGTAGTTTTTGCGATAGCCTCGAGATACGTTGTGTTCCGAGCAGGGGTTGCGTATACGCACGTCTTCCGCACTCGATCACTCAAAGCGTATACGCACCAAGAAGTCGCCGTGGTCGCAAACCCGATGAACATCGCGTTCTGTTCGGAAGCCCGGTGTAAGATCAGAAAACGGCTCCCCATTGGGAAATTGCTCACCCACCTCAAACAAAACAGAGGGGCGCCCGGAAAGTGCAGTATACAAATGAGGAAAAGAATGCATGCCCTATAACGCCTTTCAACCACCAATATGTTAAAGGTTTTTGCCACACCATTGTTTTGCTAAGGATTTTATACACTACAAAACCAGGTCGTTCCCATTCTTTTGATGTTTGAAGGCGGCCGGGCATGTACAGCACTTGTTTTGCGACATTCATCGCCACATCCGCCGACACACTGGACGATGGTGGATTCATCCTTCGGGGTCGTCGATGGGGTCGATTGGGCACCTGACGTCGTTTTCACACCGTGGCAGGTAGCTCCGGACACCTGGCATCTCAGCTTCCATTGGATGTTTGGGCTGCAATGCAGCTTTCAGATGCTTAAGAAGTCGTTCAATGATCAGTGATCGCATAATTTGGCATGTCATTTTTGCATCGAGATCGGATCTGTGCAGTTCATGCTGACAAGGTTTTTTGTCTTTTCCACACAGAAGTCCCCTGATAGGGGTTACCTTGACCTAGGCTACCGGCCTAGGAGAAGACGTTCTCGCTTGACTAGTCGACCTCGACCGGGGAACGACCGAAACCGTGGGATCGAACATCGAAACCCTTCCCGGTCGACCACGGAGACGGTCGACAGATGATGTGGAGACGAAGTGGACATCGGACCCACCCAAACGCGACCCGAGCTCGGCCCCCCTCAGCAACTGCTCGGTCCACTGCTACATGTTGGCTCGGTCCATTTCACCCTGGCTGGTTTCGGGTCCAAACCCGGACCGCGAACGGGTTGGGTCCTGCCACTGAGCGTCTGGGCACTGTGTTCGGCTTCCCGGTTTTCGGCTTCCATGGTCATCCCATACCCCTTAACTTATCCCAGTATGGAATCAGGGGGGTCCACCCCCCTATAAAACGGATTCATATATACAAAAAAAGGGGTTCACCCTTGAAATCATAGAGACGACAAGGTTTCATATAGTTTTTACATGGGGGTCCACCCCCAAAATTATAGACAAGATGTTTTCCAAAAATCAACGAACATCACAACATGACCTGTGATTTTATAGAAAAATATTGTTGTCAGGAACTTGTCACACAAATCAGATTGCCTCTATACCTCAGAGCTTATGATTATATACAGACTTGGCGTTGACCTAAATGGTCGTCTATACGTTTGGGGTCATGAATTTATAGAGAATTGAGCGTTATTATATAGGCTGCTGAGGGGGCTTGGACGCTTGATTGTATAGATGTGATCTGCAACTCGCCGGCCCACGCTGCAAGTGATGGATCATTTTGTTTGTTCTCTTATTTCCCTTATAGACAGTCAAGAATCATCCATAATACAGCATAATATATTCTAATATAATTAGAATAACACCGGTTAAAGCATGTGTTTACATGTACCAACAGTCTACCATAGTTTACAAATATATACAGGTAAACATCACAGTGCTTCAAGATAGATCGGCGGGCGGAGTGTCAACGGCGCTTTGAAAGGGGTCGCAGCCATGAGTGATGCTCCAAAAAATTGCCCCAAAATATGTGTGCCCTGGCAGCCAGAAGATGTTCACCTGCTTCAGAGGGCACAATATTTTGATCAATTTTAGTGATGTGAGCTGTCTGGCAAATCACGTCGGACCCAGGGGGCCCGAAATTGTATAGAAAATATGCAACCGCCTCAATGGGATGCAGATCGTCAAGTGTGGCGTTTCCTGGCTTTGATTCATTGATGGTTGTAGTATGTGTGGCTGTCTCATGTTGTCTCAATGCCTTTCTGGTCAGCAAATGTTTGTGATTGTTTTCCATTATTCTGCCACCAAGTTTGCCGCTGCAGCATGCGATCCAACAACAGACCGTCGTGGCACTACTACTTCTACGATGACCAGAAGCTTGGACATGAAGTAGTGCTTCGTCAAACCCTGCTTTCTTTATCTTTCTTTGGCCTTCGTTCATAATCATTCTGCAATAGATGCGCCAAGGGAAAAGATCTGGGTTCACACCCTGGAAATTAGCCGAGCGAAGCCAAAGTTGACAAAGGCAAGGATTTGTTTATTGAATTCTATTGACATCTATTGATATATATATATATATCTATTGTATTCTATTGTATTGACATGTATTGACCATTTTTACATAGTTTTCTTTGCCTGGAGGCAGCGAAGGAATCGACGAAGAACAAGAATGGCGACACGGAAATGACTGCTCCTAAGGCAGAGAAGCCTGCCCGGGCCGCAGCCAGCAGTTTGATAGTGTTTGCAGATTTTGAGGACGCATTTTTGCTCGCATTTTTTGTGTGAAGATGTTGCAGATATATGGGAAAGAATTCAGTCATTGTATGGTCATGTATGGTCCTCCAGAATTCTGCCTCTAGCTCGGTCTTCGCGCACGTCTCTCTTCCTTTGGACGCCATGTTTCTTGCAATGCGGTTGTGGTGTGTGGCCACGTTCTTCCCTGTTGTCCTGGCTGCGCCTGATGTTTTGGCCCGGCTGGAAGAAGACACAACTAGCACCATGAAGGAGGAATTGTTCCTTGGTTTGTCTGAGGTGGAGGGAGCAAATGGGAACAGATGGAAACAGCTTTTTAAGTTATATATATATATCAGCTCCGATGAGGCCTCTATAAATGCACAAGTCCTGAGGCCAAGGGGTATTCTATAATAGATTCACGCAGAATCTAGTCGCAAAGCCTCCTTCGTGGTTCTGTCAAAAGGCTCTATAAAATGGTGAGTGCATACCTTCCCGCGAGCTATGATTATCATATTGCACTTGTAGTTTTCTATTGCAGGAGCAACATTTGTTTTGATATTGCTATATCTTGCTCTATGAATTCTTAAGCATAGACCCTACGAAGGGCCTGGAACAGTGTAAGCCTGGGTAAAGAGATGTAAAGAGTCTGAGGTGGTTCAAAGCGGAGGCGCATATTGGCTATTTGACACGGCTGGCCGAGCAAATGGCAGGTGAGAGCTCCGTGGAAGCAAACAGTTCATCTAATATTGATTTGCATTTTTTATTCACAGCCGTTAGTAAGTTTATGTGAACCGCATTTGCTCGCGCTGAGTCACTCCTGGGGTTCACTGCCTGGATTTGTTTGGGGCGTCAGAGTCAGTCAGGCCGGGTTTCATTCCAAGAGCTTTCTCATGTTTGCTCAGTTAGCTCATACAGGAGGTGCTGGCAGAAGGCTAGCTTTCAAGCGATATCGCTGGATGTGAAATTGATGGCCAGTCATGACGTCACAATCTTGGATGGTTGCGTAGAACTCCTCAGGATGGCACTGTCGCTACTTACTTGAACTATGTTGAACTGCTGACAACAGAGACTGTTAATGTTCCTATGTGTTCCTGAAGTTGGAGGTAGAAAGAGGACAGTTGCGTTTCGCTTTGAGGCTGCTTCCAGACGGAATAATTGTGGCTGGGCCGCCGTGCAGCCTGCAGGTGGCTGCTTCACAATCTGTCCATCGGAGGTCAGTCTCCAAGCCAATGGGTGACACTGGCAATTTTCGCACGCGTATCTCAAACCGGATATGGGTGAACTTCGTGCCTTTGTGGCAAAGCTATTACATGCCTTTACATGCTATTACGTCCGTTGTCTTGTATCAAGTTAGCGCTTGGATTCTTGATGGTGCCACCTTAGGGAATTTGCCTTTTGGTGATTTGGAGGTCTTCGTCGTGGGTCATTGAATGACATTTCAATTTGCTTGATGTTTTGCTGCTGGTTTGTTAATTTGTTCGATTGTGCACCACAGGACTAGACGGGACCTGAAAATCATAGTGGAGCAACCTTCTTCCTCTTGGGCCTTCAAAATGCCTATTATGAAAAGAGTGATCCGCGAACTCGCACTGCAGCTGGGATCCCGTACATGTGTGTGTGTGTGTGTTTGTTATGCATGTTCATGCTGTGTTCGTCCATGTGTTTCAACACGGCAATTGCGTTTTGCCGGCGCTGAGGAGGAAAGTGACTACATGGATGGGCTGCTTCGGTCATGACATGGCCAAGTGCTCGCACCTCTTTGTCAATTTCAAGACCGCAATTCAATATATTCGACAACCCTTCAACAAGACTTGAAGCATGCAAATGAAACAGATTGAAACAGTATATATATATATATGTTCCAGGAGTGCAGATGATTTGAGACGCAAAATGACAGCTCCCATGCGACTCAAGATCAAGGAGAGTTTGGATGTTCCTCAATGTTTTTCCATTTTCTTGCAAATCTGTTTGCA